CCATATACAACTCCCACCCAACCCCACAACCCATTCCTTGCCCCTCTACACCCTGCACCCAGCCCCTGGCCAACCCATTCCTGCCCCCTGGCCACCTGGCCCCTGTCCTTTGGCTAACCTCTACCCAACCCCACAACCTATTCTGCCATAACCTGCCCCAACCCTACAACTCCTACTCCTGTCCCTTGCTAACTCCCACCCAACCCCCACAACCCATTCCTGCCGCTATTAACCCTATCCAAACCCCTACAACCCATTCCTGTTCCTACACCCCACCCAGCCCCTACAACCCATTCCTGCCCCTACAACCCATTCCTGTCCTCCTACAACCCCACCCAACTCTCCTAATAACCCATTCCTGTCCCTATTAACCCCACCCAACCCCTAATAACCCATTCCTGCCCCTATTAACCCCATCCAACCCCTAATAACCCATTCCTGTCCCTATTAACACCATCAAACCCCTAATAACCCATTCCTGTCCCTATTAACCCCATCAAACCCCTAATAACCCATTCTTGCCCCTATTAACCCCCATCCAGCCCCTAATAACCCATTCCTACCACTATTAACTCCATCCAACCCCTATTAACCCATTCCTGCCCCTATTAACCCCATCCAATCCCTAATAACACATCCCTGCCCCTATTAACCCCATCCAACCCCTAATAACCCATTCCTGTCCCTATTAACCCCATCAAACCCCTAATAACCCATTCCTGTCCCTATTAACCCCATCCAACCCCTAATAACCCATTCCTGCCCCTATTAACCCCATCAAACCCCTAATAACCCATTCCTGTCCCTATTAACCCCATCCAACCCCTAATAACCCATTCCTGTCCCTATTAACCCCATCAAACCCCTAATAACCCATTCCTGTCCCTATTAACCCCATCCAACCCCTAATAACCCATTCCTGTCCCTATTAACTCCATCCAACCCCTATTAACTCATTCCTGCCCCTATTAACCCCATCTAATCCCTAATAACCCAATCCTGCCCCTAATAACCCATTCCTGCCCCTATTAACCCCATCCAGCCCCCTATTAACCCATTCTTGCCCCTATTAACCCCATCCAGCCCCTAATAACTCCATCCAGCCCCTATTAACCCATTCCTGCCCCTAATAACCCCTTCCTGCCCCTATTAACCCCATCCAGCCCCTATTAACCCATTCCTGCCCCTATTAACCCCATCCAACCCCTAATAACCCATTCCTGCCCCTATTAACCCCATCCAGCCCCTAATAACCCATTCCTGCCCCTATTAACCCAATCCTGCGCCTATTAACCCAATCCTGCTCCTAATAATCCATTCCTGCCCCTATTAACCCCATCCAGCCCCTAATAACCCATTCCTGCCCCTATTAACCCCATCCAGCCCCTAATAACCCATTCCTGTCCCTATTAACCCCATCCAGCCCCTAATAACCCATTCCTGCGCCTATTAACCCAATCCTGCTCCTAATAATCCATTCCTGCCCCTATTAACCCCATCCAGCCCCTAATAACCCATTCCTGTCCCTATTAACCCCATCCAGCCATGCCCCTCCCCCTCTCCCTGCCATGCCCCTCCCCCCAGCCATGCCCCTCCCCCCAGCCATGTGTGGATTCAGATCAGGATTGTGTTTCCGCAGTTAGAAGTGGGCTGTACCATTACACATCAAACTGGGGTGGCTGCAGATTCTGATAAAATAACTGAATTATTGCATATTATGGAAATTACCTGTTTTAGCGAAGTTCCCTCTAATAAAGAGTTTAATGAGAGAAGTAAATTCAGGAATTGCGGAAATTCTCCCCAGACACATGGGCTGATCTAACAGCTTTTAGAGCTCTAAACACCAGAAACAGCAACACTTCCTGGGTCTCTGGAAATACCGTATATTCCATTGAGCCGCCATCTTGTCGGAGTCCGCAATTCATGTGTTTCTAAGGTTTGGTCTCCAATAAAATGTCTCCTATAGTGGAGTCAGTGTGGCACAGGTTGGGGTTGGGGTCTCGATGGTATATGCGGGGAGTGGGGTCCTGAGCTTTACATCCAGGTAATAATATTTTTAGTTCCCACTTGCCTGAGTGTGCACTCATTCTTGCCCTCACTCACTCAGTGATCCACTCACACTACATTCAGTATAATCTCATTCCATGTCTCCCTTTAACCAGACACAGTGAGAGCCTGGAGTCATATTATCCCATAATACAATAACCACCACCACCATGGGGATCCCATAATATAACCACCACCACCACCATGAGATCCCATAATAACCACCACCATAGAATCCCTTCAACCACCACCACCACCATAGAGATCTATAATATAACCACCACCATGAGATCCCATAATATAACCACCACCAAGTCCCTTAATATAACCACCACCACCAGAATCATAGTATACCACACCACCGCCCAGGGATCCTATAATATAACCACCACCACCATGGGGATCCCATAATATAACCACCATGGGGATCCCATAATATAACCACCACCACCACCATGGTGATCCCATAATATAACCACCACCACCATGGGGATCCCATAATACAATAACCACCACCACCATGGGGATCCCATAATATAACCACCACCACCATGGGGATCCCATAATATAACCACCACCACCACCATGGGGATCCCATAATATAACCACCACCATGGGAATCCCATAATATAACCACCACCACCACCATGGGGATCCTATAATATAACCACCACCACCATGGGGATCCCATAATATAACCACCACCACCATGGGGATCCCATAATATAACCACCACCACCACCATGGGGATCCCATAATATAACCACCACCATGGGAATCCCATAATATAACCACCACCACCACCATGGGGATCCTATAATATAACCACCACCACCATGGGGATCCCATAATATAACCACCACCACCATGGGGATCCCATAATATAACCACCACCACCACCATGGGGATCCCATAATATAACCACCACCACCACCATGGGGATCCCATAATATAACCACCACCACCATGGGGATCCCATAATATAATCACCACCACCACGGGGATCCAATAATATAACCACCACCACCACCATTGGGATCCCATAATATAATAACCATGGGGATCCCATAATATAACCACCACCACCACCATGGGGATCCCATAATATAACCACCACCACCACCACGGGGATCCCATAATATAACCACCACCACGGGGATCCCATAATATAACCACCACCACCACCACCACGGGGATCCCATAATATAACCACCACCACCATGGGGATCCCATAATATAATAACCATGGGGATCCCATAATATAATCACCACCACCATGGGGATCCCATAATATAACCACCACCACCATGGGGATCCCATAATATAACCACCACCACCACCATGGGGATCCCATAATATAACCACCACCATGGGAATCCCATAATATAACCACCACCACCACCATGGGGATCCTATAATATAACCACCACCACCATGGGGATCCCATAATATAACCACCATGGGGATCCCATAATATAACCACCACCACCACCATGGTGATCCCATAATATAACCACCACCACCATCGGGATCCCATAATATAACCACCACCACCACCATCGGGATCCCATAATATAACCACCACACCACCACCATAGAGTCCATAATATAACCATGGGGATCCCATAATATAACCACCACCACCACCATGAGGATCCCATAATATAACCACCACCACCACCATGAGTCCCATATTATAACCACCACCACCATGGCGATCCCATAATATAATCACCACCACCACGGGGATCCAATAATATAACCACCACCACCACCATTGGGATCCCATAATATAATAACCATGGGGATCCCATAATATAACCACCACCACCACCATGGGGATCCCATAATATAACCACCACCACCACCACGGGGATCCCATAATATAACCACCACCACGGGGATCCCATAATATAACCACCACCACCACCACCACGGGGATCCCATAATATAACCACCACCACCACCACCACCATGGGGATCCCCACCACCACCATGGGGATCCCATAATATAACCACCACCACCATGGGGATCCCATAATATAACCACCACCACCACCATGGGGATCCCATAATATAACCACCACCACCACCATGGGGATCCCATAATATAACCACCACCACCATGGGGATCCCATAATATAATCACCACCACCACCACCACCACAATGGGATCCCATAATATATAATCACCACCACCACCACCACCATGGGGATCCCATAATATAATCACCACCACCACCACCACCACCATGGGGATCCCATAATATAATCACCACCACCACCACCATGGGGATCCCATAATATAACCACCATGGGGATCCCATAATATAACCACCACCACCATGGGGATCCCATAATATAATCACCACCACCACCACGGGGATCCCATAATATAACCACCACCACCATGGGGATCCCATAATATAACCACCACCACCATGGGGATCCCATAATATAACCACCACCACCACCATGGGGATCCCATAATATAATCACTATGGGGATCCCATAATATAACCACCACCACCACCACCATGGGGATCCCATAATATAATCACCATGGGGATCCCATAATATAATAACCACCACCACCATGGGGATCCCATAATATAATAACCATGGGGATCCCATAATATAACCACCACCACCACCACCACCATGGGGATCCCATAATATAATCACCATGGGGATCCCATAAAATAACCACCACCACCATGGGGATCCCATAATATAACCACCACCACCACCATGGGGATCCCATAATATAACCACCACCACCATGGGGATCCCATAATATAACCACCGCCACCACCATGGGGATCCCATAATATAACCACCACCACCACCATGGGGATCCCATAATATAATCACTATGGGGATCCCATAATATAACTACCACCACCATGGGGATCATAGGAATCTGCCGGCACCGTAACCATTGCACCCAGCTTTTACGCTAAGAAACTAAACCGGGTTTGAATGGTTTCACACTGAGCGCCTGCCCCCAGCCACCCATTGCCTGCCCCCCAGCCGCCCACTGCCTGCCCCATAGGAATCCCAGCAATAAATAGCATGGGGACCATAGGAATCCCAGCAATAAACACCACGGGGATCATAGGAATCCCAGCAATAAACACCACGGGGATCATAGGATTCCCAGCAATAACCACCATGGGGATCATAGGAATCCCAGCAATAACCACCATGGGGATCATAGGAATCCCAGCAATAACCACCATGGGGATCATAGGAATCCCAGCAATAAACACCATGGGGATCATAGGAATCCCAGCAATAACCACCATGCGGATCATAGGATTCCCAGCAATAACCACCACGGGGATCATAGGAATCCCAGCAATAACCACCACGGGGATCATAGGAATCCCAGCAATAACCACCACGGGGATCATAGGAATCCCAGCAATAACCACCACGGGGATCATAGGAATCCCAGCAATAACCACCACGGGGATCATAGGAATCCCAGCAATAACCACCACGGGGATCATAGGAATCCCAGCAATAACCACCACGGGGATCATAGGAATCCCAGCAATAACCACCACGGGGATCATAGGAATCCCAGCAATAACCACCACGGGGATCACAGGAATCCCAGCAATAAACACCACGGGGATCATAGGAATCCCAGCAATAACCACCATGCGGATCATAGGATTCCCAGCAATAACCACCATGGAGATCATAGGAATCCCAGCAATAACCACCATGGGGATCATAGGAATCCCAGCAATAACCACCATGCGGATCATAGGATTCCCAGCAATAACCACCATGCGGATCATAGGATTCCCAGCAATAACCACCACGGGGATCATAGGAATCCCAGCAATAACCACCACGGGGATCATAGGAATCCCAGCAATAAACACCAAGGGGATCATAGGAATCCCAGCAATAAACACCACGGGGATCATAGGAATCCCAGCAATAAACACCACGGGGATCATAGGAATCCCAACAATAAACACCACGGGGATCATAGGAATCCCAGCAATAAACACCACGGGGATCATAGGAATCCCAGCAATAACCACCACGGGGATCATAGGAATCCCAGCAATAAACACCACGGGGATCATAGGAATCCCAGCAATAAACACCACGGGGATCATAGGAATCCCAGCAATAAACACCACGGGGATCATAGGAATCCCAGCAATAACCACCACGGGGATCATAGGAATCCCAGCAATAACCACCACGGGGATCATAGGAATCCCAGCAATAACCACCACGGGGATCATAGGAATCCCAGCAATAACCACCACGGGGATCATAGGAATCCCAGCAATAACCACCACGGGGATCATAGGAATCCCAGCAATAACCACCACGGGGATCATAGGAATCCCAGCAATAACCACCACGGGGATCATAGGAATCCCAGCAATAACCACCACGGGGATCATAGGAATCCCAGCAATAAACACCACGGGGATCATAGGAATCCCAGCAATAACCACCACGGGGATCATAGGAATCCCAGCAATAACCACCACGGGGATCATAGGAATCCCAGCAATAACCACCACGGGGATCATAGGAATCCCAGCAATAACCACCACGGGGATCATAGGAATCCCAGCAATAACCACCACGGGGATCATAGGAATCCCAGCAATAAACACCATGGGGATCACAGGAATCCCAGCAATAAACACCATGGGGATCACAGGAATCCCAGCAATAAACACCATGGGGGTCACAGGAATCCCAGCAATAACCACCATGGGGATCACAGGAATCCCAGCAATAACCACCATGGGGATCACAGGAATCCCAGCAATAACCACCATGGGGATCACAGGATTCCCAGCAATAACCACCATGGGGATCACAGGAATCCCAGCAATAACCACCACGGGGATCACAGGATTCCCAGCAATAACCACCACGGGGATCACAGGAATCCCAGCAATAACCACCACGGGGATCATAGGAATCCCAGCAATAACCACCACGGGGATCATAGGAATCCCAGCAATAACCACCACGCGGGATCGGATCATAGGAATCCCAGCAATAACCACCACGGGGATCCTAGGAATCCCAGCAATAAACACCACGGGGATCATAGGAATCCCAGCAATAAACACCACGGGGATCATAGGAATCCCAGCAATAAACACCACGGGGATCATAGGAATCCCAGCAATAACCACCACGGGGATCATAGGAATCCCAGCAATAACCACCACGGGGATCATAGGAATCCCAGCAATAACCACCATGGGGATCATAGGAATCCCAGCAATAACCACCATGGGGATCATAGGAATCCCAGCAATAACCACCATGGGGATCATAGGAATCCCAGCAATAAACACCATGGGGATCATAGGAATCCCAGCAATAAACACCATGGGGATCATAGGAATCCCAGCAATAAACACCATGGGGATCATAGGAATCCCAGCAATAAACACCATGGGGATCATAGGAATCCCAGCAATAAACACCATGGGGATCATAGGAATCCCTGCAATAAACACCATGGGGATCATAGGAATCCCAGCAATAACCACCATGGGGATCATAGGAATCCCAGCAATAAACACCATGGGGATCATAGGAATCCCAGCAATAACTACCATGGGGATCATAGGAATCCCAGCAATAAACACCATGGGGATCATAGGATTCCCAGCAATAACCACCATGGGGATCATAGGAATCCCAGCAATAAACACCATGGGGATCATAGGAATCCCAGCAATAACCACCATGGGGATCATAGGAATCCCAGCAATAAACACCATGGGGATCATAGGAATCCCAGCAATAACCACCATGGGGATCATAGGAATCCCAACAATAACCACCATGGGGATCATAGGAATCCCAGCAATAACCACCATGGGGATCATAGGAATCCCCGCAATAAACAGCATGGGGATCATAGGAATCCCAGCAATAACCACCATGGGGATCATAGGAATCCCAGCAATAACCACCATGGGGATCATAGGAATCCCAGCAATAACCACCATGGGGATCATAGGATTCCCAGCAATAACCACCATGGGGATCATAGGAATCCCAGCAATAACCACCATGGGGATCATAGGAATCCCAGCAATAACCACCATGGGGGTCACAGGAATCCCAGCAATAACCACCATGGGGATCATAGGAATCCCAGCAATAACCACCATGGGGATCATAGGAATCTGCCGGCACCGTAACCATTGCACCCAGCTTTTACGCTAAGAAACTAAACCGGGTTTGAATGGTTTCACACTGAGCGCCTGCCCCCAGCCACCCATTGCCTGCCCCCCAGCCACCCATTGCCTGCCCCCCAGCCGCCCACTGCCTGACCCCAACCCCCACTGTCTGGCCCCCAACCACCCACTGTCTTCCCCCCAAACGCTCACTGTCTTCCTCCCTCTACAGATATCACTGAGGAGGAAAGAAGTTCCTAATTCACCGTAATCAGTGACATCATTAACGCCATGTTCGGCCGAGGAATGTCACATTCCATCCAAATAAGCGCCATATTGAGATATGTATTGCAGAAGGGAGTCTTCGTCTTTAGATATATTAGAAAAGTAGGCTGGACCGCAGGTGTTACTTTGGAACTGTGCCAGCGAAAACTGCAACCATAACCACTACACCGCGTGACGTGGTACCTAGATTGTCCCTTTATTAAAACATGTTTCATATAATCTGGGGCATACACTCATGGTATATACATGCAGAGTGTGGAATACACTACACAAATATAAAACAATATTAAATGAATTTAGTATAGAGGCTGTAGCGGAGAGGTAGTATAATCCACAGTATCTCCGCTGGGTAACAGGAACAGCATAGAATCCTTCAAGCAAAATAAGTACAGCATGCAGTAAACCTGGTAGAGTTGTATAAATCCTCCTTCCCAAGAACTAGACGACACATGGGCTGGGAGTCAACTGCGCTTTTAATCACAGGTCACAGTATTTATGTGGTTCCCCATGCAAGGGGTTTCCCTACTGACATTACAGGGGTTGTACAGTAGGGGACTACATGGAGAACTTAACAACCTGGACATTTCTCCCATCATGCACTGCTGTACGAGAGGGATACTCCCACTAGAATATACCGTTAAGTGGATTATCCCTCCGTGCTGCAAAACCGATATTTTACATGAAAATTAATAACTTTTACATTATTTGCTTTATTCAACCGAATGGTCATTCGGTAGATAGCTGGGGTCTGAGCGCACAGTTCGTGAAAGTACCGCTCAGATCCCAGCATAAATAACCGAACGCTGCACGAAAATACATATTACTTTATATTCATCTTAAAATAACAAATACATATAGGGGAACAAACTACCGAAGGACCGGTGCTCCCGAATGGCCTGGAATTCCAGTGGTATTCGTGCCGTCGAGTAGACGATTTTAGTTCCAGGTGCTCAACGATCAAATACCGCTGGTCTAACAAAGGAACCAAGATGGCTGACCGCCGCGTGGTCGGTAGCCGAACGGCGGCCACCCTGAACCCTGATAATCACTGAAGGAAACATTATTGCAATCTTTAATGGGAGACACACGACCTCCTGTGTGTGGTCTCCCATTCGGTAGTTAGTTCGTTCGGTATCACGTATTCATCCGCTTACAAAAATGTGGTTAATGACATTTAATGTCCACACAGGAAAAGTTGTGCTGAGCAACAACCAAATCCACAGAAGGGTTAATGCTGAGCAGCAATTATGCAAATGAGATCTGGTAACTGCCTTTGGGGTCAAAGGCCGGTTACAGCCTATCAGACCTAGAGGAGGGGTATTTAGGCCCAGTTCTCATCCTGCTCAGTGCCCTGTCGTGGTTTCCCTTGTGGTTGTTCGAGAGCGCGTTATTGATTCTGGTTATTTGACTTTGGCATTGTTTTTGACTTCCCTGTTTTCTTGCATCCCTGACTCCTGGCTTTTCCTTATCGTTGTGTCTCTTTCTGTTTCCCTTGACCTCGGCTATTCCTGACTATTCTTTGGTACGTTAGTCCGGCCATTCTAAGGTCCGGTATACGTTACTTGAAAGCCACCCAATCAGAGTGCTCTGTGTCATTTTACACAGCATGGGAAAGTTCTTTTGAATTTTCCCACGCTGTGTAAAATGACTCATAACACTCTGATTGGCTTAAACCCACCAATCAGAGTGTTCTAAGCCTAATTGCAGGGCGGGGCAAGGCTTTATAAGCCTTGACCCGCCCTGCGGAGCTCAGTCTGCGGCGTGCCCTCGAAGGGCGAACATGGATTAATTTTTTTTTGCGCTCGTTTTTTTTTTTTTTTAAAGTGCGACGGGTATAATGGATTTTTATTTGGCCTTTTTGGGGGCTGAAGAAAGAAGATTTTAGAAAAAAGAAGACGTCAAATGGTAAGTTTAATTTTTTTTTTACAGGTTAGTTATTTTATTCCCCCCTCACTATTTTTAGGGTGAGGGGGGTAGGTAGGGGATAGTTTTTTTGGGTGGGGGGTGACTAGGGGCTTGGGACCCCTAGTCACCTTGATTGGGGGGTTTTCATTTAGGGCCCCCACCCACCGCTCAGGGGTGGGGGCCAGGGGGAAGGACAGTAGGTCCCCCTTATTGTTTATTAGGGCCCCCACCCACCAAGCAGGGTGGGGGGGGAGGACAGTAGGTCCCCTTATTGTTACTGGGCCCCATCCACCGCCAGGGTTCCCCTTACTGGGGCCCCCACCCACCGCTCAGGGGTGGGGGCCGGGGGGGGGAGGACAGTAGGTCCCCCCCTCTTATTGTTTTACTGGGGCCCCCACCCACCGCTCAGGGGTGGGGGCCGGGGGGGGAGGACAGTAGGCCCCCCCCCTTATTGGTTTATTAGGGCCCCCACCCACCGCGCAGGGGTGGGGGGGAGGACAATAGGTCCGCCCCCCTTATTGTAATTTGTCATTTTTTTTCAACAGTGAGCAGCCCCATAGAGTGAGAGGGGGTACTGGGGGGGCTTATGAAGTGGTGGGGAGCACTGCTCCCTGCCGCTTCTGTCTTTACATATTACAAGGAGGGAGCTGCATGCCGGTAGCTCCCTCCTTGTAACAAACTGAACGAACAAACAAACACTGATACATTGTGTTTGTTTGTTTGTTCGGCTGATATGTCTATTCACTCATTCGTCTGTCTGATGAATGAGTGAATAGATGAAATTCCCGTTCGCATGTCCAGGTGTTTCACTGGGCATGTGCGGGAATCTCACAGTCTGTCTAGTGTGGGCTGATGACGTGTCCCACAGGGACTTCACCTACCCACACAAAGATTGCGACGCCCTGAATATAGATCGGGGCAGAAAATAAGGATTAAAAAATAGGTAATGTGGGGGGCTTGGGGGTGACTAGTGGGTCAATTGGATGTAGTGGAGGCGGGAGGGGGGTTAAAAAAAAAACGAGATTCGGCATGACAGTGCCGCTTTAAGAACCAGAGAAGCTACTAGAAACAAGACCAGACACATGAATATGCCTTTAGCACCCCACTTCTCCAAACCTATTGTCCCTGAATTTCCTGTACCGACCGAACCTGAGCCCATGGAGTTGGGGGTCACCAGACTGTCGGAAGCAGAAAAACAATATAGGAGAAAAGAAGGCCTATGTCTATACTGCGGTAGAAAAGGACATATGAGAGACAATTGTCTCATACATCCGGAAAACTACCGCACCTCAAAGGGACAGGTCTTAGGTGTAATGGAAACGTCCTCTGGAATGGATAAAAATAGGTTTCTCCTTGATATTACTATTGCCTTTGAAAATAAGAACTTTTCATGCAAAGCCCTGATGGATTCAGGTGCCGCTGGAAACTTCATTGACGTTCAATTTGTTAAAGGTAATACTATACCTATCAAGGAGAGACTATCACCCCTAGCTGTTGAAGCTATTGATGGGAGACCACTCTCACAACCATTGATTACACACGAAACCTCACCCATTAATGTGTCCATTGGTGCCTTACATAAGGAAGAGATTACATTTCAGGTTATTGCATCCCCTTCCTGTCCGATCATATTAGGCTTTCCATGGCTTAACAAGCATAACCCTCATATTGACTGGGCTAATGGGGAAATATTAGAATGGGGTAAGGATTGTTATGAAAGGTGTATATTGAATCTTGTCAAAAGAGTGGGCACTATTGGATTACCCACTAGTACACCTCAAAACCCGGAAATCCCTATACAGTACCAAGACATTAAAGAAGTATTCAGCAAAACTCAGTCGAATACTCTACCTCCTCACAGACCTTATGACTGTTCTATTAATTTACTACCTGGCGCTATGCCACCTAAGGGAGCAGTCTATGCTCTGTCACCTCAGGAGAGTAGAGTAATGGAGGAATATATTAAGGATTCATTGAATGAAGGCCACATACGAAAATCATCCTTGCCTGCTGGGGCAGGATTCTTTTTTGTATCTAAAAAGGACGGTGAGTTGCGCCCATGTATCGATTACAGGGCATTGAACAAAATCACCATTAAGAACGCCTACTCCATTCCTCTTATTGCTGAATTATTTGATAGACTCCAAGGTGCTAAAGTATTTACTAAACTTGATCTTAGAAGTGCTTACAATTTAGTGAGAATCAAGGAAAACCACGAGTGGAAGACTGCACTTAATACCAGAAGTGGACACTATGAATATCTAGTGATGCCATTCGGGTTGTGCAATGCTCCAGCGGTTTTCCAAGATTTCATAAATGATGTACTCAGGGATTACATTTACTCGTTTGTCTTGGTCTATCTGGATGATATCCTTATTTATTCTCCTGACATTCAAACTCACTGTGATCACGTTAGACAAGTTCTGCAGACCTTGTTAAAGAATCAACTTTATTGTAAATTAGAAAAATGCATCTTTGACCAATCTGAAGTACAGTTTTTGGGATATAATATCTCTGCCTCGGGGTTTCAAATGGATCCTAAAAGGCTGGAATCGGTTCTACAATGGCCTTTACCCACTGGGTTGAAAGCCATTCAAAAGTTCATTGGTTTTGCCAATTATTACAGAAGGTTTATAAAGGGATTTTCTTCAGTAATAGCCCCCATCACCAATATGACACGCAAGGGGGTTAGCAGTACGATATGGTCTAAGGAGGCTGTAGAAGCCTTTGAAACTCTCAAACAGCGGTTTGCCTCTGCCGACATATTGATACATCCTGACACCAGTAAGCCTTTCATACTAGAA